CCGCGGCCACAGCGTTCGCGTACCAGCTCTGACCCCGTCACGCAGATGCCACGAGAACGCCCCGACCCAGTCGTTGCATGAAACGAGCCCAGACCGGCAGTAGCGCCGGACGCGGGAGGACAAGCGGTTCGTGGTAAGGGGCGACGTGTGACGGAAGCTCGTGCCCGGGGGGGGGGCGTACACGTGGGGCGCGGTGCGGTGCGACGCGCGGCGGCGCATGACGTACGCCGCGGCGCGTGCGCGGCGTGTGGTGAGCCAAGAAGGACGCTCCGCGGAGCGCGCGGCGGGGGGTACCGGTACCTTCGCGCTGTCAAGATGCGGGCGTGATTCGGGCGTGCGGCGCGCGCAACGGGGTCTTGAGGCGGGGTGGGGATTTGCGGGCGCGTGCAAGTTGGCGGGATGTTACTGGTGGATGGCGGCGCCCGCAGCTCCGGGCGACTGCATGGTAATTGCAGCAGGTTGCGGGTTCCGCCGGCGCTCTCGCGGAGCCGGGGGGGGGGGCAGGGACGGGTACAATTACACTGTTTCACTCGCGACGCTGCGGCCATCGCTTTCGCTTGGAGGGCGCGTCACGCGCTTGTCATACAGAGCGGGAGGTTGACGCGAACCGCAGCCCGGCTCCTACAGTAGTAGTAGTAGTCAGGATATCGCGGCTTGCTGCTCTGTACCCTTGAGAAGTGTGAAACAAATGTATGATATGGAGGCGCATCCATTTCTCTAATTGCTGGATGCGTCAGAACTTGTCTTTCTTTACGGTGATGAAAGACGCCGGATGAAGCGGGTTCCCGGATCAACGCAGTGGGTACATTACGCAACGCGGGCAGGGTTGGGTATCATACAGCGTGGCCCGATACTAGAGCGGGCGCAAGCGGTTCATTACTAAAGAGTCACAGTCACGCGGGCTCCCCGAATACGCTACCCTTGGGTACCGCGAGGGAGGAGGGGCGTGTAAAGTTGTTCAAAGGGCATGCGAAGCGTCAGCAAGGGCGTCAGCGATGGCGACAGCAAAGCGTCTGCAAAGCGTTGTCGTTTTGCCAGGGGTTTGCCAGGAAGTAGGCCTGATGCGCCAGTGGAAGAGGCGACGTCATCTTACTGTAATTCGTTTTCGTTTTGTTTTTCAACCTCAAAACCCCAACCCGCTGTAGGAACCTCCTACACCGCACATGCCTCTAGTGTAAGTACATCCGACAACCACATCCCAAAAATGTTCGCAGAACTCCCCTTCCATCATGGCACTGCCCCACCACGCCAAAGTGGCGAGACATGTCTGACGTCAGGTCGCCACACTTGGTCGCCCGCTGTTCTCTGTGTAAGTGGGGCGGGTGCCAATAACTCTCTATTAATGTCCTCCGCCAAGTCTCGTGGCGCATGGACGAGCTCACCACCTCCCATCTGCCAGTCTCCGCCATGCCTGTCAGCTCTGCGCCCCCCGCGCCCGTGCTCCCCTTCAACCTGGCGCGCGCCCCCTGGTCGCAGCTCCCCGCGCCGCCTCGTGTGTCCGACTCCGCCGCCGTCACCCCGTCTGCGGTTCCCGCCCCGCCGGCCCTCCCACACTTTACGCCGCACCCGCCGCAGTACGCCCGCATTCCCCCGCCGTGCCCGCCGCACCGAGAGAACATTCGTCCACGCGTGGAGAGCCCCGAGCTTCTGTCGCAGGCGAACAAACGCCCGCGATGTAGCTAGAGTCGTCGCATACGCTTCCTTTGCCCAACGTTAGCACTTCCCTTGCAAGACGTGCTCCCCTGTCACCACGCCAGCTTGGCTATGCACAAACTTGCAAACTGCTTCGCTTGCCGTTGTAGTGCTTGAACGCCGCCGTTTAGCGGCATCCTTGTAAAAGAAAAAATGGCCTATCCGTTTCTGAACCCGCATGTCGCTTCCCTCCTAATATGCTTTCACCTGCTCTTCGACGATGTAACAGTATTCATTCTTACCCACAAATTTTCATTCCCTCGTACTGCTACGCCGCTGCTTGCCGTTGCCGCCCCGTTTCCAGAATCTTACTCCATAAAAACATCTCAGCCACCCTACTCATCGTCCTCCTTCCGTACAATAATCTCGTTTTGGCTTCACACTCCCGCTTTTCAAAGAGTACTGTATGCTGTAATTCAAAACCATCTCGGTAGATTCCACCGCAGAGCTGGAGCTCCAAATCATGAGCACATTCATGCACACAGTTTACGGAACCGAACTACCCTCGAGGGTATGTATGTCCAGCCGTGTTTATATTTTCGACACTTCTTCTTCTTCTACTGATGAGGTGGGTGGCATCTGCCTCCAATGCATTAGAGCGCGAGGCGATTACCTCGCGTAGCTCACGTTCTTGTGATAAACCCCTAGCCTTTGTCATATCAAACGAGTCCCCACTCCATGGCCAACTCCCAAATACTGAACAGTGCAGTGCTCAACTGAGTCCAGGGGTCGAAAAAACGTAATGCAAACAAAGTACGTCTAGAATCCCAACCATTCCATGGTCAACACCATAATAGTAATATCCGTCGAAACCAACCTAAATGCACATGCACGCGTACTTTTTGAGCTCCAGTTTTTGACAGCGAGCGAAATGGCCCCCAACAAGCGGTGGTGATCAAAACAAGCCAAGGTGGAAGCAGGACTTCGAACTACGAAGGAACTCGCCTTCAAAAGCAGGTATTTCGATTAGTGTTGGAGTGTCGTGCCCTTGTTGTTCTTTCTACACGACGCCTATGCGATACGCCTTGGCCTTGAGCCTTATCGGTGGCACGCAAGCAGAGAGAGTAAGGTATTGGGCACACCCGGTCTGAGATCTCACCTACTTTGGAGATCCTGCTCGTAAACAGGTAGAGAGTATTTTATTTGTCAAGGTCACGGTTCAAGCTCGCGGGTGGTCATTCGCCGCGCGCAAGTAGAATACTATCAGAACGTTTTATAACCACTCCACTCAGCACAAAGTTATCCCTGAGAGATCACTATGGCAGGGACAGAAGTGCCCGAGCCTTGACGAAGCGCCTCCTCCAAATTCCACTCTTAGGAAACGGTTTCGAAACCCACTTACGAAACAGATCTCGCGCAACTTCGCGGTTGATTCGTCTGCCGCACATGTTTTCCACCGCCGCATACGGCCGCCACTTCATGAAGTGGCGGCCATATGCAGCGGTGGAAAACATCAGATCAACTAGCTAGAGACCCACAGCGAGATACCCGCACCCGCAAATCTGATGCAACAGCGGCTTCGGCACAGCATATGCCGCTCTCATTCCTCAAATGCATTGGTGCATAGATCGCAATAGCGACCACCAACTTGTGGCAACCACAGGGTTGCGGACAACATTGGCTGTGTAGATCGTTTCTATAACCTGCTATTAGATCAAACAAGTCGCAATGAAAATTGCAGTACTGTAGGCAAGTGCACAAGTACTGTACGCCAGGGTGTTGCAAGGAGGACCTATCTGCATGCGGAAGGATGTTTACAGCTCTTGAAGATTTCTTCGCTCTGCCATAGAATAGCCGTTTTCGTCCTCGGTAATCGCGTAGCAGTGGTCACAATATTCTCGCGCATCCAACATATCTGCAAGTTCTCGATCGGTGGTAGCAAGGAGGAGGTGAAAGTTGCCTCTCCTTCTCCTGCTTGCCAAAAATATATTGATCGCACGACCAATGTACCCTGCATGTTCGTGGTCTACGTTTGCAGTCGGTTGATCTAGGACAAGAAAACTCAACTCCTTGCAGAACATGTCTACTAAGGCGAGACGGACAATCAAACAAGCGAAATACTTTTGCCCAGTGCTGCATCTTCCTCTCATTTTGACCCAAGACTGTCCTTGCCGCATTTCGACGTGGTATTGAAAGTATCGCTTTGGCGTCTTTCCCCCCTTTCCGGCTTCTTTCTCGTACGCGCCAATCCTAATTTCGTCGATGTTTGTACCGCGATATGACGAATGCCACAATTTCATAATTGCCCTGTTAATGCTTCTCATTTTAATCTTGTGGCCTAATGTGAGTGCTTTGTCTCTTGCCAGATAAATCGACTTCAAGTCTTCTGAAGAATATCCCACAACTGCTTTCTTGATTTGGCATTGATTGAGGTTCTTTAGAACGACTTGGTATTTTTCCATCTCCCGATGCAACTTCTCCACGTTTTTCTCTTTGATTCTTTTCAGTGTGCTTTTTCTCTCACGTTCATTCTCAAAGTTTCTGAGCGTCTCTTGAAGATCTGCACCCACGACGTCATCAAAGTTTCTGAGCGTCTCTTGAAGATCCGCACCCACGACGTCATCTTCATCTCCATAATGCTGCTGTTTCTCTCTAATATCACGATCAATGTTTGCAATTCTTTCCTTGACCTCACAGACATCCAAGTTTCCTTCGAGGGTTTCCAGTCTTCTCAGCAAAGTGCGTTTCTCTTCCTGACATCTTAGATCCTTTTTCCATACCTCGAGAGATTTCTCCACCCTATCTTGATCCAGAGAATTTGCTTCCCGATCAAATGACCCCAGTTTGTCCAAGGAGCGCCTCCATTCCTCCAACTCACCTCTTTTCATATTTTCATCTTTTGATACACTGGCTAACTTCTCATCATGGTCCGCCGAGGTTTTTTTCAAGATATCTTGTGCTTTGAGGAAGCTGTCCTGGAGTTTCTTATTATTTTGTTTGCAGTCATCTGCCTCCTGTCGCAGTATTTTTAACCTCTCTAGCGTACCACATATTCTGTTTTGTTCATCAAATTCCCTGCCTGCTCTTTCGAACTCGATTTCATCTTTTGTGCAAGTATCGAGCTCTTTTCTTTTCGTGAGTAGCTCTGAGGATTTACGTTGTAATGTCACTCTTTTTTGTTTCAATTCTGTGCTTACAACAAAAGACGGTCGGCCTTCGGGTTCAGAAGATTGTGCCGTGAGATATCCCTTGAGCTCCTTGAGCTGATCTGAAGCGTCCCTAAACCTTTGCACGCTTTTCGAGCACTCCTTGACCAGACGGTCTTCTTCCAAACATGAGCCATCCAGCGCTTTTATTTTGTCAGCATTCTCGTCACATTCTTTCATTTCTGTTTCACAAACAAGCCGCTGTGATCCAGCTATCCTGTGATATTCCTCGTCCTTTTCGTACGTCGATGAATCTGATATCACTTTGCTCAGGATCCGTTCGAAATCACTCAAATGATTTTTTGTTTGATTCAGCTGTCTGAGATTTTCTTTCGCCCGAGTAAGGTTTTCTGGGTTTTCGTACTCTGACATGCGTTGTTCAAAGAATTTTTTCATCTTCTCTATTCCTGCTTTGTCACTACCTTGGACTCCGCATGCTGGGCATTGAAAATTCTTACGGAATAATTCAAACTCCTGAGTCACATGTCTCAACCCAGTCTTCAACCCCCATTCTTCTTCGGCTGCTTGCTGGATTTTGGCATTCGTTTTCGCTAGTATCGTTTGAATGAAGTTGACCTGCTCTTGTGTAGCGCTGAACCGATATGTAGAGGAAGGAGTGGAGAGAGATAGGAATTGAGCCCAATCTCCTGAAGGAAGGGTCCGGATTAAAAGAAATTGGTCCTCGGCCTCCTTCGCAGTAGTTCTAAACTCCTGCAACGAGTTTTCGGACCGTATTTTCGCGATTCCTTCTTGAACCAAAGCTTCACGAAGTTGATTCCGATGTTTTTCTCTCTGGCTTTCTGCCTCGCCAAGAATCCACTTTCGTTTTTGCGATAATTGCTTTTCGATTCTGCGAAGGGAATCACTTTCCCTCTCAGCCTTTTTCGCGGAGGAAATGTCATCGGAATGAAAATGAGCTCTGGGAGACTGAAGCCATTTCGACAACTCAGGACCCTTCTTTTCTCCGAGGTCTAATGCAGACTTGGTAAGGCGTTTTGATAACTCTTCAAAGGATTCGCTGCAGTCGCGCATGGCATACTGAGATTGCTCTTTGAGTGTTTTCACCTTCCCATCCCTGCCGTCTTGCTTCTTTGCATTTTCCTCCTCTGCATCCAGCTTTTGCACATCGCATTCCACAGCCTTTACGGTTTTTTCAAGAAATTCGACTTCTTCCCGCAGTACTGATGGCACTACATCGCTTTGTCTGCATTTTGTCTCAGCCTGTGTCGATTTTCTCTTAGCCTCCAAGACACGCTCTTTTGCGGTTTGCAATGCTTCCTGCTCTTGCTGCACACTATTCGGACGACCGCCGCCCTGCGAGATAAGTTTTCTTTCCAGATCGTCGATCTCAACTTCTTTCCTGTCCAATGTTTCCTCCTCTCTTTTGCATTCATACCCTTTGCGGCTTACTTCTTCTTCCGCTTTCTTTCTGATGTTAGTGAAATGTTTTGAAAGTGAGGCGGTTTTTTCCCTAGACGTTTGATACAGCGATTCGAGAGTCTTAGTCCATTCCTCGTCCTCAGCGTTCGGTAGAGGAAGCACATGATTAACATTTGAGCTTGCAAACTCTTGCGCTGGAAAAAGCTTCATCTTCAATATGTTCTTCAGTCCGTCAATATGCTTCCTCTGTTCTTGATGTTCCATGGCTTGCTTTGTCAGGTCCTCCTTTTCCCTTTCAAGGCCAATGACTTTGGTGGTTTTAGTTTCTATTACTGGTGATGCAGCCCACAACTCGTCCACTATGTTAAAAGTTGTCAGTCCCTTATCGCGGAGGACGCTCCGCTGCTCACAGATTTGCTGTTTTAGATGTTCCTTCGATTGTCCAGGAAGGTGGCTCGACAACTTCCTTTCCATGCGTTGCTTCTCACTATTGCAACCTATCTTCCTCTCCTGAAGCACTCGGACGCTGGCCTTCATTTCATCACGCCGCCTCTGAATCTTCACTTTCGCTTTCAAAGCCTCAATACTACTCTCCAGACTAATACATTCCTGCGAAATTTCAGATAGACTTTTTTCTTCCTGCTCAAAGCTACTCTGGACTTCAATGAATTTCTCGTAGTCTTTTTCAAGCTTTATCAGCTCAGAAGCTGTTGTGCTGTCCACAATCTTCATCTGCTGCATACCGTATTGAAGCATGTGCAGAACTTCGCTGTGCCCATCCAGCCTTGTGATTTTGTCCATATGGTCCTTGACTTCGTGTGGTTTTCCAAGGGGCCACAAAGCGTCTTCTTGGTACACAAATATCAAGCTATCCCATACGGGGTTGCTGACTTGCAGGAGCTCGGGTAACATCGAGATGTCGGGGTGTATCAAAGTCGCTGAAGAGGTCAATTTTGGGGGGTCTGAGCTGAAGCAGCCTGATGTGTTGGCTGTAAGCGAAGCACCTTTGAGCTTGTACTGCCGCTCAACAGTATACTTGACGTTATCAGCACCCTGAAAGACGAGACGGACGGATGCGACTGTCTCGGAGCGTGCATGGGTATTGGGGTCGTTAATCTCCGGTGGAATTCTCTTGCTCGCCTTCCGTACATTAAGTCCAGTGACCGCTACTCGGAGAGCCTCGAGTATAGCGGTCTTGCCGCTCCCCGTGGGACCAGTGATGATGGTGAGAGGAGATGAAATGTCGACTTTACAAGAGTGATCCGGACTAAAACCTCTGATTCCGCATATTTCTAGTGATTCTAGAGACATGGTGATGTGACAAAACTTGGCGGGCGCCGCCACAGGGGAACTGAGAATGAATGGCGAGTGGTAGCTGCGCGGTCCTGCAGAAACACATGAAAAAAAATTATAAGGAACGAAGGGGGGGCCTTCGAGGTGGATAGAGAAGCCCGTCGAGCCTACGCTGAAACAAGACGGCTGTGGGTAGTAAACTGGACAAGTGTTCTGGTAGAAGTAAAAAGCTGGGAACGTCCAGATTCAAAGCTGGAAGCATGGACTTGTGAGAAAGGGCGATGTACATACGGTTACGGTACAGAAATCGATATGAAAAACAGGACTTGCGCAAGGTTACATATGCCAAGATAGGCATATCATAGGGCCTTTGGCCATGAGGTGGCGAAAGCCATTTCGTCCAATAAGAACGCTCCGGACCGCCGCCGTCCATACTTGGACGGCTGGCATTGGGCGACGAATGTAGTCGGACCAAAAGGGAGAATTTTGTATGCGCACCATCGTAGATTTAACTATTAATTAGTAATCTACACTCGACGGCGGCGCGGTATCGCGCCCACCAGTCTCGGACTGGATGACATAAAGTTGTGTGACCGGGGGCAGCTCGCCCCCTCACACCGGAGAAGACACACTCTCGATCACGTTTATTGCTCACCTCGTTCATGGTAGCATCACGGTGAGAAACAATCTCCCTGCGCCCTTCAGACCACCACCAACGCGCGCTTCCTACTTCCTCCTTCGCCGCGCCCTGTCTCTGCGAATCGACGACTGCTTCTCAACCGCCCCCGCGCGTACAAACGTCGCACTGGACTCCTGCCCTACCCTTGAACCTATAGAGTGCTTGAGGGCCTGGGATCGAGTAATGCATTGCAGTTCATCAAGTCAACTCGTGGTGTCGGTCTACTAATTTCCTGCAGCTATTGCGCTTCCTCTGCTTTCCTCTCTCGCGCCGGGTGCTTCACAACTCACCGCACCGCACTGCCCAGCGCTACTATTGCTCGTGCTACATTACCTCAAGCAAATCTCAAGCTCAAGTTGGAAATCAAGTTTGGAAATCTAGTCAAGTCTAGTCAAGTCCAGTCAAGTCTAGTCAAGTGTTTGTCGGTGGCGGGGGTATTTGTTGGGGTTTGACGTTGTGTGTGATTGCTGTGTTTTATTTGGTCTCCATTCGGTTTTTCTCGACCTACAATCAAAACGAATTTACTTTGGCGTCGATCTGGGTTCCCATTTACAACTTTTAGTTGTTGTCGTCGTCTTTGCCGTAAGCATTGCTTTTCGGCAACAAAAGCGAAGGTTACACACATTTGTCATCACGTTCAACTTCGACAACGAAAATTGGAGACCATCTAGCACAATTTGGACTCCACGCATCACACCAAACTTTCTCACGGCTACAGTTGAAAACGTTGATCAGCAATTTCTTCTTCTTGTGTGCATCTCCGTTTTCGCTGTTGGTGGTGCTGATTCGCTTTCAAATTTTATTTTCGCACCCCTCTTGTCACATACAACTGTTCACACATCTGTGCAACTTTCGGTCAACCCGTCATAATGTCAAATAATGGTGAAGGCGGTGACTCTCTGAGCAAAGTGCCAAAGCTTAAAGTCCCGTCTGACTTTATTCAGTGGCGCAGGAAGATGAAGGCTTATCTTCAGCGCAACGATCCAGTTCTAGTTGGACTGAAACCGAAGCCCACCGGCTGTGGTGCATCTTCGAGTGATGCAATCGAGGACTGGATGGTGCGAGCTGCGCGTGCAAAAGGCAATATCATTCTTTGCCTTGGAGACGCCGTCGCGTCCCAAACACGCTTGTTTGTGGACGACGATGAAAAGATGGCCTCCGATCTGTGGAAAGAGCTTGAGCGTATCTTCACGATGTCAAACGCTCAAGTGGTGCAAAACATCAAACAAAAGTTGGACACCTTAATCTTCAAAGATAATGGTAACTGGGACAAGCATGTCGCTTCGTTTTTAACAACCATTGGGGAGCTAGCTACGTATGATGCTGAGCTCTCTGAATCGGAGAAAACTTCCAAGTTAATCCGCTCTCTGCCATCCTCGTTTGCGCCTCTTGCTATGGTATCTAGTCTACAGGACCTCAATTTCGACAAGGTTGTCAATGCTGTACAAGCCGGGATCGCACGTCGATCTAATCCTCACAACATGCAGCAGTCGAGTAACAGCATCACTTCTCAACCTAAGGCTAATTTCGCGGAAAGAGGCAGTCGTGGTTCAACAGGTAAAGGTCGCGGAAGAGGTCGCAGAGGTGGACGACATGGACAAAGAGGAACCTTCGGAGGTCGAGTGGACAAGCGCACTTGCAACTACTGCAAACGTCCGGGTCACCTTCTACAATGACTGTTGGGACCGATTAAGGGACGAGGGGGCTGGAAATGGACAAGCGCCTCAAGGACGTCCCTCATTGCGTCTCAATCGAAATGTGCACTTCGGCACGCCACTTCCGGACGCTCTTCCTCCTCGTGGTAATATCCGCAACAACGCTAACTCCACCACTCGCAGTTGGGGAGCTAGCAACCACCACCGAAACCAAGGAGCCCCTCGCCCTTCGACTCGCTTCGCTCAGGCGGACGACGAAGTCCCAAGAGGATTCATGGTGCAACTACAAAACAACGACTTCGACTTCCGAAGCCAAATTGCTGAAGTATCTAGCGCAAAGAGGTCCTGCGCGCACATTGACTCTGGTGCTACGCATCATTTCTTCCATTCTCGAAAATCGTTCATCAACTATTCACGTATTTCACAAGATGTCATGGCTGCATCTGGTGTGTCAAGACTAGTTGGCCAAGGAGAAGTGTCAATCCCTCTTGGCGGTGGCATGGTAATCGAAGCTTACCATGCCCCTCACTTCTCTTCCAACATTCTCTCAGTCGGGCTCTTAAGTTCTAACTTCATTGTTGCGTTTACCGACGACATCCGTCCGCACAACGCATGTTTCCTAATGGAGAAAGGAACCTGGAAGATTTTGTGGTAAACTCAGAAGAAGAATGGATTGTACACTCTCGACATGAACAATTCAAAATCAAACATGTCTTTGACAACAGTCGCTATGAACGTCAACAAGAATCCTGCCCTGGAGTGGCATGGGAAGACTGGCCACCTTGGCATTAACCGCTACATCAAGCTTTCTCATGCAGTCGAATCTGTTCCGTTCTTTGAAAAATCCATCCTTCAGCAACTCGATTGCGTCCCTTGCTTAAAAGGGAAAGCTCATCGTGCTCCTTTGTCTAAAAGTGGATTCATCACAAAACAGCCACTGGAGTTGATTCACATTGAAATTTCAGGTCCTGTGACTCCAAGTGTCGCTGGGAACTCCTACACACTTGCAATACTGGACGACTACACTGGTAAGTCTGATGTCTTCATGCTCATGACAAAGAATGAGACATATATACATCTCGAATGGTACCGCAACCGCTCACAGACTGAGTTTAACTATCAGTTTCGGCTTCAGAACATTAAGCTGGATCGGGCTGGGGAGAACAAAGGGGAAGACGTCAAGGAGTTCAGTCACCATTACGGCATCAAGCTTGACTACTCTCCTGCCTACGCTTCTGAAAGCAACGGATCTGCAGAACGACTTATCCAAGAACACTGGGTAAGAGCAAGAGTTCTTCTCTTTGCGAGTGACCTACCGCTCAAGCTATGGGGAGAGGCCATAAATCATAGCAACTGGCTCCGCAATCGCGCCCCCTCTGAGCGCATCAAAGGTGAAATTCCCATTCTGGCTTGGAACCCTAATACTCGGATCGACTTCACAATGGTTCCGGAATTTGGGCAGAAAGGACATGCGTTCATCTATAGACCAAAACCACTCGCCAGAAGAAGCTTCTTCCTCGCACCGTGTTTGGACACTTCGTGGGTATGGAAAGTGAAGTCACTCTATTTCGCATCTTCGTTCCGTCCACGCAGAACATAATCATCACGCGTGCACAAGACTTCCATCATGACAACTCGGAGCATCTACCGAGTATGTCGACATTTATGGATGGTATCTCCCGTCAAATGGAACTCGATGCCTTCGGACAACCAACATTTCCAGACGAAGAGCCGGCTCCCAGTATTGAAGGCGAATACGATGGGGAAGAGCAGTTGATATCTGTACTCACTGCAGCCTTAACACATCACCCTACAGTGTTTGTGTCGAAGAAAACTATTCGCGATCCGCTTCTTCCGCGTTCTTTCTCACGCGCCTGTGAAGACCCAAACTGGGCTGCCGCCATTGACAGAAAGTTCGATGCTCTTGTCGAACGTCGGACATGGGTGCTTATCCCTCGGACTGTAGATATGCATCCAGTCCCATTCACTTGGGTATTCAGACTCAAGCCGCTTGACGACGTTGGGAACGTCCTTCACAAAGCTCGGTGCTGTGTACGTGGTGATGAGCAGAAGCCATTCACTGACTACGATCCAGACAACACCTACGCTCCAGTGGCCACACACGAAACGCTTCGCATCTTGCTGGCGTTCGCAAGTAGTCACAACCTGGAGCTTGAAGGTGCAGACATTTCTAATGCCTATCTCTACGGCAAACTTTACATTCCAGTTATTATGAAACAGCCCACGGATTCAAGTCGGCTTCAAAGGAAGCCTGGTCATGTTGCTAAAGTACATGGTTCCATGTATGGAACCAAGCAAGCCGGAAAGATATGGGTTTCTCTACTGGAGACTTGTCTGAACTCTTGGAAGTTCAACACCTCGCGATACGACGCTCGACTCTACTTCTTCCGCAAAGGCAACGAGTTTGTCATTGTCGCTATTGTGGTCGATGACATAGCATTTGCCTCCAATAGCACGCAATTGATGTCATGGTTCAAGGAAAGATTGTCGCCTCAGTTCAACGTTAAGTTGTTCGGTACACTTTCTTCCTTTATTATATGGCAGATCTCCAAAGAACCCGACCACATCAAGGTCCATCAGACGCGCTATGCTGAGTCACTCCTACTGACTCACGGACTTGATCAAGCCAACTCGGTCTGGACTCCTCTGCCTTTGAATGCGGACCTGCTCCCTGCACATCCAGGTGAACACTTGCTGTCGCAAAACGAGCACTCTCAGTACCGCGCAATCATCGGTGGTCTCAACTACTTGGCAGTTTGCACCCGCCCAGACCTTTCATTCCCAATATCTGTCTTAGCCCGCCACTTACATGCACCCACCCCCCGACACATGTCGTACTTGAAACGTGTCTTGAGATATGTGTCTGGTACATTGGACTATGGGCTACATTTCCGACGCAATTGCAACTTCAACCCAGACTCTATTGTTGCTTGCGTTGATGCCGATTGGGGAGGATGCAAAGACACGAGGAGGTCAACAACTGGATTCATTATCGCCATCAACGAAGCACCAGTTTATTGGAGAAGCAAACGTCAAACAGTCATCTCCTTGTCCTCCGCTGAAGCCGAGTACATTGCTCTCTCCTCTTGCACTAAGGAATTATCATGGCTTCGAAAGCTGTTCTGGGAATTCGCTCATGCATTGCAATGGAATGATAAGGAAGCGTTTGTCGCAAGTAATGTCATGATTGACAGTACTGCAGCTCAATCTCTCGCTACGAATTCTCAAGTGTCTGCAAAGAATAAGCACATCGACTTAAAGATTCACCATGTCCGTGAACTTATTGAGAATTCTGTGGTTCAGCTGACTCATGTGAGCTCTGAGAATCAACCTGCAGATTTATTGACAAAGATAATGTCACCTCAGACATTAGGTCAAATGGTTGACCTAATTCGTCTTGAGAAGTTTTAAGGTACTGAAAGCGCTACTCCAAGGGACGGTACATACAACCAACTAATCGGTATGTTTCAATATCCACTGCGTTTTACGTCTAACGGTTTCTTTGTTTTGCGTCGTTTTATTTTCTACCAGATGTGTGTGATACCATCCTGCTCGATTTACCTTCTCCGTTTTTCCTGCAAAGGTTTTGGGAGTTTACTGGTTTTCTTGTCAAAAGAGTAGTTGCTACGTTGTGTTCACGTCGAGGAAAGAGTTTTCTGTGTAATGTGCCCTGTGTTCTGTGGGAAGTGTGCACAATGCTGTGTCGCTTTTTCAACTGCAGAAGTTGTACTGCGTGAGTGAGCATACAAAACAAATTGGTCCATGAACAAAGGTGTTGTTAAGTCTTTGATCTATGTTTGACAAAGCCACAGGAAGATGGTGCAAGGGTCCGGAAGTAGTTTTACATCAAAAAGTTTGTGATGTGGTTCAGTTGAACGAAATATGTCTTCCGAAGGACGGTGCCAAGATAGGCATATCATAGGGCCTTTGGCCATGAGGTGGCGAAAGCCATTTCGTCCAATAAGAACGCTCCGGACCGCCGCCGTCCATACTTGGACGGCTGGCATTGGGCGACGAATGTAGTCGGACCAAAAGGGAGAATTTTGTATGCGCACCATCGTAGATTTAACTATTAATTAGTAATCTACACTCGACGGCGGCGCGGTATCGCGCCCACCAGTCTCGGACTGGATGACATAAAGTTGTGTGACCGGGGGCAGCTCGCCCCCTCACACCGGAGAAGACACACTCTCGATCACGTTTATTGCTCACCTCGTTCAACATATACAGACACATACAGGGTACAGTATTGTTGTGCCTTCCCATTGCACAGTACAGTACTGTAGCGGTTTGAGTTGTCGCAAAATGGAGAACCTGGCGACTGCAGGTTTGGTGCGCTGTAACGAGCGGTGGAAATCAGACGTGTTGCCAGTTTCGGAGTGGCTGTAGACAGCCATCTGCAGTAGCAGCTTGCCACTGCAGATGGCCGTCAAGTCGCTGCGGGGCTCCTGCTACA